TGAACCCACCTCGCCTATAACTTGTCTTTTTTTGTACATAGATTCCATAAAAATTTGTAGACTGCAACTTCATTCCATGTCTCAATGTGTTATACATTGAAACCACTGGTTGTTCTAGGCTAACATACTCTGTCCCAGGCTAACGGGGCTTTCCTTGTCATCTCCACACCACCACCACCACCACCCCCCCCTAAGAAGTTCCTACAAGTTTTCTCAATCAAATGAGCCATTTTAATAACTTCTTTGTTCTTATATAATGGAATTAGAGTACTCTTCTTTCACTCTTCAGACATCTACCATATTTTAATATGGTATTAAATAGCTTGGTGAACCATACCACCCCAACCTCCTCAAGACACTTTTAGACCTCTATAGGGATACTATCTGGAACACAAGCTTTTCTAACCTTCATTTTTTCATGGCATCTTTTACCTTTATGATCCTATTTTTACCGGTGTAGCTATAATTTTCATCGTACATAGATGTCTGGAAGTCTAAAATGCTATCCTCTTGGTTAGGGTTGAACAAGATCAAAATATCCTCTTCGTCTCTCCTTGATCTCGTTATCTTTTGACAAAACTTTGTTGAGAATTATTTTTAGTACACTTTACTTGGTTAATTATTATCTCTCTTCTCTCTTAGTCGTGCTAGTTTAAATATTTCTTCCTCTCCTTCTCTTATCCCTAGCTTTTGGTACAAACAATCTAGATATTGCCCTCGAGCTTTACTAATAGTCTTCTTAGCTTACTTCTTAGCTCTCTTTTATTCTTCTAAGGCTTCTCTGAATTTTGTTTTTGGCAACGTCCTATAACACTCTCTTTTGGCTTTAGTAACTCTATGTACCTCCTCATTCCACCACCAGGATTCCTATGTTAAGGTCTTAAACCTTTAGATAGGCTATAGCACTCCTGTTGCCACTTCTTTAGTGCAACTCGATATTTCTTACACATGGTATCTGCATCTCCCTCTAAATTTCAAAGCTCATTTCTTTTGTACCTTTTCTTGAAACACTAGTTGGTTAGTGCCCTTAACACCCACTATATAATGCGGGGTAGTTTGTAAGTAATTCCCTTTCCCACTGTACTATTAAGCTTTACATTTAAGACTACTAAACTATGTGGGTTAGTCATCACTTCTTTTAGAATAACCTTACAGTCTTTGCATGTACCTCTATCTCGTCTTTTGGAAAGATAAAGCGTATTTGACTATGGTTACCCACACTCATACAAGTTACAAGGTGCAAATCTCTCTTTTTAAAAAAAATTGTGTTAGCTGCTACTAAATTATAAGCTAATTAAGAAAATTCTAATGTAACCTTCCCTTCATCATTTTCTAATATCATAACCATCACCCCCGTGTACCTGTTCAAAATTGTTACTCTTTACCTACATGGACATTTAAATCTCCCCTTGTAAAGATTTGTTGTTCCCCTGGCATCACTTGAATTAAAGAATTCATATCCTCCCAAAACTTAGCTTTAGCTTCAACATCTGATCTTAATTGTGGAGCATAGGCAATAATGACATTAACTGTCTCCCCCCTTACAGTTCTTACTATAATAATCAATCCTAACTTGATTTACTTCTAAAATCTTATCTTTAAGTCCTGGTTTTATAACGATACCTATTTTATTTTTGTTTTTACATGTTCCACAACATCACAATTTATAACATGTGTTACCTATCTGAGATAGGCTATCTCTCTAGCCTTTGGCCCTATCCATTTAATTTCCTGAAGGCATGAAATATCTATTCTCCTCCTTTCTGAGATATCCACTAATTCCATTGACGTTTATGTCAAAGTGCCTATGTCCTGCTACCTACTCAAATTTGTCTCTCTTGCACTTACTTTTTCACCCTTATCCGTCCATAATGTAAGAACACTTTCTTATTTTTTGTACCATATCCCGAACGCTGATGTGCGGAACTAGCTTTTTTATCCACACCAATCCATAATATAGGAATCCTTTTATATTTTGCACCATATCCGAGCGCTGGTGTAATAGAATTAACATCTTTATCTGCATCCGTCCATGAAGCAGGAACCGTTGCTCATACTCGTCACACCCAGGTGGAGATCTGGTGGAACTCCTTGCTCATTTTAATCACATCCGGGTACTAACGTAACACGTGCCTAGATGGATACGTCCCAAAAATATTTGTAATATGAGAATTCATCATGAATTGGTAAGTTTTTACGCTGGCTGCCAGCCTACTACAATCTTCTTCCTTTATCAAGCTTGAGAAAGGCGATGTAGGCGAGCTCACATATGTGGAGTTATAATTAAAATGCACATTTAGTATAAATTATAAATTACTTATTACTCACTTTTCTTGTTTCTAATTTCTCTAATTTTAATATTGAAATAATATATCAAACATAAAAAATGAGTTTAATTTTCAAAATAAAATTTAGGTATTAGGAGCAAATTATCTCAAGCAATACCGTGCAAATAAAAAGAGAAGAAAAGGATGGTAGAAACAAAAAAAATGCTTAAATTAGAAAGGGGTAGTTTAAATAAATAAGATGTTAGACATGTATTTGCAATATGTTATCTTTGATATTGTTGTAAAAAATATATTTACTAATATGAAGATGAAAGAATTACGGCCCTTGTCACTTGGCCTAACAGATGGCCCAGGTTTGAAGCTTTTACCTTATTTAGCCCATGTTGTACATAACTTGAAAGAAACTTTTCAGCCTTTAGCCCATTATTAAAGACACACTTTTAGGGTTTTTATTATTTTCTTCATTCTTCATTCCCAGCACACCACATTCTCTCTCACTGCCTCTCGCTTCTTTCTTTCTAACCCACATAGATCCCTCATCCTCTCTTAACCTAGCCCCCGCTATTCCTCCTCCCCTACCCTCTACGCAGTTCTGCCATCAATGGCTCGAAGAAGGCTCGGGCTCCTACTCCGTCGTCCATGGTGGCAAGCAGAAGAATATTGAAGATTTTGAAAGAAAAATGAAAATACACACAGATCTGAAAATAAATAGCTCTCAAACTTGATTTGCACCAAAAAATAACCACTAATTTTGGAAGATTTTGAAGTTTGAAGTTCTGGTCATTATTATTATGACCTTGAAGTCTCGAATCTGAAATTGGGTGTATCTTATCTGTGTGTTGAATTCCGAATCGTTGGCGCAAAATTGTTAACCTATTGACGAGTTGAATCATTCAATACCTTCTATTACAACTCGAGGCTTGGATAAAAAATCATAACTATGGAGCAGTTTGTATCAACACTGTATAATAGTGTATAATTGTGTATATGGATATACAAACACCTCTTATAAACTATTATACATGTTTATACAAGTTAATATATTATTTACAGTAAGTGTAGTGTTGGACATTCTATGTTTTCTAGTGGAAATATTGTATATGTGGTGTTTATATACACTTATACAGTATTGTATAATTGTGTATAAATGTGTATATTTGTGTATAATATTGTATAATTATATATTTTTGTAGTTTATAAGGATGTATATACATTGTCAGTGTGTAAGAGGCCTCTATGGAAGTTTGACACTTCCTTCTCTTCTTCTTTTTCGTGTATGTGCTGTATGAAAAAGATTTTGTACGCGTTGGAGGGATTCTACAATTCATTTACCATTTTTTTTATCCTGTTTGATTGCTTCAGCAATTGCACATAAAAGTGTTTGAATTTCTTACCTTCAGATAATATGTATTATTCAGGATTTTTGAGTTGTGTTGTGGCTGCTTAGCATTTTTTTTATCAAATGCTTAATAATCAAAGGAAATCAAGAGAATGAAAACAACTGGTTGTATAAAGAGGGAGCAATAACCGTAGTTGATTGTGTGAAATAAGCTGTCTTTCGGGAATTAGCCTATTATTTTTGGGCTATAGATTTACAAAGTGATATCTAGGCTATTATGTTGCAAGTCAGGTGTGTGAGCTGTATTTATGTGAAATTATCCCTATGAAGATCTAAGTAGTTTAATTCAAAGTTTTAAAATATTTTTACTATTAAAGAGTAGATAATATTTCTTTCTTTTTTACAAATTTTTTATTGGAATTGATAAAGTGTCGTGGAGTTCATAATTACATAAAAGGAGTCAAAGTAATGGTTGCGACGCGTTGAGACACTTGTTCAACTTTGTACTTATTTATCTACAAACATTAATATTTCTAATTTGAAATAAACTCATAAAATTTATTATTAAAAAAAATTTGTGACCTAAATCCTACTAGACCCACTTCTCCACTTCTAAAATTCTTAATTAAAATTTCTAGAATCTCAATTAAGATAAGACAATAATGACAAAAATTAAAGACAGTGAATATATCGTTCAGTTATCAAATGTGAATGAATCTGGTTGAACAATACGTTCATGATGGGGTAGTGGTGTGTAAATAATTGTTGATCATCAATTAGGGACGGCTCAACCGAACTGATGGCTTAAAATCAAAATATATTAAAAGGCCCTGAAACTTCTTTCATAAAATTCATTTAGTATTGAGACTAAAAAATAATCCTACATGGCTGAGTGAGAGCAAGGCATGATATGTGGTTTAGGTGCACGTCATATGGTAGTGAACTCTCCCCCTAAGTGAAAATGATAAAGGGGTGAGCTCATTATCCATCGTTTTCTTCTGGACCTTACTTCACTTGTCTGATGGATTTCTTAGTTAAAAAAGAGGAGACATAGAAGAACATGCTTTCTGATGGGTCAATCAAATGTAATAAAAAGAATAGTTAATTTAGAGAATTTGTGTTAAAATCAGAAAGTAAAATCGTGAAAAATATACAAAAAGGACTATACATAAAGGGGAAAAAATAGAATTGATGAAAAGGTAGATATATTATTTAATTTAATAAGAGAAAAAAAATTCCTATTAATTTACACAATCTTACCTCTACTAAATTTTAAAAAATATTAAAATTTGAAATATTTTATTAATAATTATAGATATAAATTTTATATATATATATATATATATATATATATATATATATATATATAATATGCTGCCTTACCTTGACCGGCCATGGATCCTCCCGTGATAATGAAGTCCTTTAATCCAAATAAGCATCTCAAGGAGGAGTACGGATCTTTTTTTCCCCACTTATTTCGAACAACAAATCTATAAATTGCGAAGTTTTCAGGTTATATTGATTTGAATTTTCGTTTTCAGGTTTGTAAGCAATTTATCAGGAACTTCAATGCTGGAACTATTTCTTCTCATCACTACACTCTCTGTAGGAAGCTGTTCCTATAATGTTTGATTAATTTATTTTTATTCTTGTATTGTTTGTTTATATTTTAATTTTATTTTTTGTTTTGTGATTCAGATGATACTCTTTCTACGTTCAGTATATTCCAGCTCCAAAAAAGGTGAGAAATCGCACAACATTGTATCATTTTTGTCCTGTCTTAACATTTAATTCATTTCTATTTTACGAATATACGAATTATCTTAGCTTCTTAGTATTAAGTTTTGGTTAATTATTTTTATGTTTTATGTTTTTTCGGCTTTCCTACTTTAGATTTTGGACTGATGATTGGGTTTGGGCAGAGTATGAATTCTTAAAGAAAGTAGGCTAAATATTCTGGAGTACATGTTCAGAGTGAAGTGAACGGGACTTGGAATAAATTTGAAGGAATAAACTGGGAAACTATCGTATAGATATTACAAATGTGAAAAGGAATTATAGAAAGGAGATGGACATATTTGACATAGTAAGACAAGTTCTGAGTATATGTACTTCTCTTTTGTTGCGGAGAAAGAGGATGTGGAAGCTTTCTAGACGAAAAAAGCCATTGAAACCTATGTTGCTCGGACTCTTCAAAACGTAGTTGAAACAAGAGGATGAAACGAAAAAATCCTAACGCAAGAATTCCAGAAACCAGAATAGATGAGTATTTGCCTACCCCCCTTCACTTGGACAAAACAAGCTCTGAGTTATGAAGTTGTGAGTGAACCTCGTAATGCTTTTTTTTTAAATGACGATGAAGGTCGGGCCAGCTTGTGTGCGCCTCGGCTATTCCATCGGGTACGTGCCACCTTCCACTAGCACAGGTACCAGGTAACTCTGACCATCGAGGCAATGGAAGGAAATCACCTAGTGTTTTTGTCTCCATTGGGATTTGGACCCGAGACCTCATGATTCTCCTCTTACTTCATTGACCGCTAGAGCACACCCTTGGATGCAATCTGGTAACGCTGTTAAGTGAAAAAAATGTCTTCTTGGAGAAAACAACATATACATTAAGTCTTTATCAATTTTACAACAACTAAAATCTTTTACTAATGTGTCGATCCTGTAGTGGTCTATGAATTTCCTGAAGACCTGTACTCTTTAGGGTGATCATTGTTGCTGAAACTGAAAGTGCTTAATTAGTTATATTGTTTCACTTAAGAAACCCTAACACTGAGGTTGTGACTAGTTGCTATTTATTTCCATTTCCTTTTCTTTATTCATTTGTTTCTAGGTCCATTACTATATCACTACACCCCCTTGTTTGGCATCTAATCCTCTATAAGGAGTTTGCATTGATTAGGCAGTTTTAGTTATATGAAGTTAACATAGCGTTATTGTCTCTATTTCTCAATTCAGGTCCTAATTCTGCAGAGGCCTTGTTGAAAAAAGATGATAACATTACATCATCAAAAAAGAAAGATGATAACATTAATGTAGTTGCTTGTAATAAGAACATGGGATCATATCTTGCTGCGGTGACTCTTGATGTCCTCTGGATTGTTTTTCCAGCCATTTTATGTTTAACTGTAAGTGTTCTCCGTCTGTGCTATAATACTAACAGTGGTTATGTTTCATTTTTATCAAGTCAAATAAGTGAAGCAATAAGCTCTCTATTTGTTTTGACATCTGAATGAATATGAAAAAAGATTTAGTTGTTAACTTGTTATTTTATTTCTAGTCATTTGTTGATGTAGTAGTTGTTTCCTGCGTGTTAAATGATCTTAAGTTTTGACAACTTCATTTAATACCTGATACTCATAATAGATAAAATAACCATTCGATCACAGATTCTGGCAGATTGGACATATATTAATGCAGTTGTGATGACCTTGTTGGTGGCTTTCTTCGTTGTAGCTAGAAGGTGATCAATCACATAATTCATATCTGATATCCAGAATTCTATCGCCATTCCATTAACCTGTTTACATGTATTTCATGTGGCTTCTTGTATGTAAAGGTACTTCATGTTCAATGCAGATCTGGATTTTCTGTTTCTCAGGAAGAGGGTGTCCGATCTCTCAGGACAAATATATCTGCATATAGGGTTTCTATGGTATGAAGAATAATCATTATTTACATAATAATGCTTTCATCTACTTTAATCACCTTTCATTTCTGGAGTTACTATTTATGTCTTTAGGGATGATTGCTGCAGAATCTTCTGACATGCGTATGTATTCTGGCTGTTGACTTCAAGATATTTCCTAGAAGATATGCTAAAACAGAGACCTATGGTACTGGCTTGGTAAGCTACTATCTGGATTCTATTGCCATACTTTTGCTAAAACCTTGGTGCATGCACTGAAGTGCCGCCGCCTGAGTGATGCGGAGCACCCCAAACTGCAGTTTGCTTAGTCATAAGACTTAAACGCAGTTCTAGCGATCTTTTAACTAAGCTGGAGCTAGGTTTTAGATTTCATCAGTTTATTATATTCTTTGCATCAAGTTTCTTTAAGAATCTACAAAAGTAGGATTGAGCTATCCTTAGCAAATCTGTGTTTGACAGTTAAAACCATTGTAAGATTAAGGGTTATTTCTGGAAGGAACAGAATGGATGATTTGGTGCTATTGTTTCTAGAATAAACAAGGAGTGTTCTATGTCATTGCTAGTGTTACTCTATATAAACTCATGATGTTCCAAATATAGCAAGTTACCTCCTATGGTTCTAAATTTTGACTCTTCTGTCTCATTTTAGGCATTGACATGTTAAACGAATCCGGGGTGGCTTTTCACAAAAGTGGCTTATTTGCAACTTGTCATACTGAAAGTTCTTTTCTCGATTCTTCCTTCATTTTTTATCTCTTCCTTCTTTAATCAGTTTTACAGTATTGAGCTCAACATCATTGATTCATTGTTTCTGTTTAAGTTCTTCATACTGGTTGTCAACTTAATACTTTGTCATGAAACTTTTACGTAATGTAAAATGGAGCTGAAATTAGGCACCCTTATGTTTACCTTCTTATGTCAGATGGACATTGGAGTAGGTTCATTTATTGTGGCAAATGCATTGGTTTCACGGCAGGCACGTGGAATTGCAAAAATGTAAGTGATGATTCTCGATTTGAATTTTTATCATGAACTTGATGTGATGTTACCTCTTGCTGATGGTGCTATATTTGTCCTGTTTCTCTTAAGAGTATTCAGGCTATTACTCCTATATCTCTGTAGCAACCAAGCTAGTTAATTGTGCCTGTAAAGGAACCATGTCAAGATAGCTGGTGGAAAGCAAAAGAAAAATAAATACAGTGCAGAGTGAATTGTTACTTGAACTGACTTTTCCCTTGCCATGCTTCGATGTTTTCCCCTAGTTTATTTGTTGCACGCTTATTTTATGGCTAACTGATAAAATAGCACCACTCAATCACACAAGTAGGTCGAATTTCTGTAGTTAAGTTTGCACCTAGAAAGCTTCAATGGTAACTCAATAATGATGCTCTTAATATAGAATGTGGATGCCTAATGAATTTTTTTTCTTTTAATTAAGTAATGCAATAAACTTTATGGTCTGGATGTGATGTTTGATGTCCAAAACTCACTAAGCTTTTGGCATTTCATCAGATTCATAAGGTGCTTGAATGGAAGAAATAAGATGCATGGAATTCTTTTATTTTTAATTGATTAGAAGGCATGGTGTTGCCAGTGGAATGCTTGTCAGTTTCATTATTGGAAAGAAAAGGACATTGAGCCTAACTCAACCGCAAAACCTAGCTCATGAGGATTTCCAAAGACCATGTAAGGAGACAAACAACCCATTCCTCCATCATTGTGGGACACTTAACACCCTTGCACACCCAAACCTGCCAATTGGAGCTGGACAACATAATATGCGGGCCTAACATTGGGACACATAGTAATAGGGATGAGCTTGGCTCTGATACAATGTAATGTAACAAGGTAATGGAGGAATTGCTCTTGTATATCATTGCGAGAAGTACAAGATATAAATACATGAAAATTGAGTGTAAATAAGGAAAGAATCAAAAGAAAAATCCTATAAACTCTGCTATCTTTATGTGGTCTATGTACATTGCTAAGAAGTAGGTCTAGGCTCATTCTTGTAATAATTTTAGATTAGTGCTGCATTATATATTTATATGTTTAGAATTGGACAGTGACATAGATATGTGTCTAAGTTTGCTATTGTCTGCTATGTCCAAGCTTCTATCAAGGGATTTTATTTCTGAAGGATGTTGAAAGTATACTATTCAACAGCATTTAACTCTACTACGCATTTCCCTATAATTTGTTGCATCTTCGGTTTGATTGTAATCAGTTTGAGTGAGGCCTACGGGGTTTGAAATCATGCGTTAAGAGTTCTTCAGTAGGTTTTATTTAGCAGTGCCGACAAAAATGGCACATGTTTTTGCTCTACAAAATATTCAAAAATATTACGTAATTTCTTTTTATCGAGCTCTGGAAACAGTATGCTACAGATTCCCCTGTATTAGGCACACTGCTGTCGTGTTTTTTCTTAGATGATCTTTTCGTTCCATGAATTTCCAATTGATTATCCTATTTGATTCATTTGATTCTTTGGGGTGCTTAACATATATTTCAACTAGTCACCTTTGATGCTTAATGTGTTCTCTTGATTCATCAAAAATAATATTTTTCCTGGAAACCATGTTACAGCACATAACTGATTTCCCTGTACTTGTGTGTTCATATTGAAACATGCAGTCAGATCAAGTTTCTTCGTTATGAAAGTGAGAATTTCTGTTCCATTACTTGTATTCCTTTGAAAAAGTAATGGAAGTACAATCAGATCATGTTGTTTCTTTCAGAAGTTTAGAACTGTTATTTAATTTCTGGTCTGTAGTATCTAATTGATTCTCTTCTTTTACTCCTTTAATAAAGGAATCTGGCAGTTTCTTAATAATCTCTTATATTTTCCAGGAATTTGAGAAATGCAATTTCTTCAACTTGTCCACTTATAGTTCTGGGCTTTGCTCGAATCTTTTTCACATCAACTGTGGATTATCAGGTAAATGGAATCCTAATTCCTTTTTGTTGGGCCATTTCAGCCCGTGGTAATGGTGAGTTAATAACTTGAAAGTAAAGTGTATCAAACCCCACCCTATATGATACATGCACGAAGTTACAAAGAAGCTTTCGAGAATGTCTCAACTTTGAAATTGTGTTGTTTACTAGTGGCCCCCTTCCTTTGGTTGTCGTCATCCTTTGCAGTGTGGATAGCATGCTAAATGACTAGTAATAATCCTAGTTTTTTATTTTATTTTGTTTCTTTTATTTTAGTTCCACATCATATTTCTCAAAAATGACATGGCACTTTCTTAATTAGTGTACTGCCATATTAGGCAACAGGATTGCCCAATGTTTTCCTTGCATGGTGTAGCCTCTTCCGCCGAATAGTGAAGCCAGAACAATAGTCATGTCAAAATTAAAATCCACAATCATCTCATAGAAACGAGACCTTTGGTTTAATGCTTTACAGTTCTATTTCACAAGATATTCTTATTTTCCTGTGTTTGGCTACAGCGATCATCAATAACTTTTCTCATCATATTGTTCTGTCGAAATGGTAATATCAGAAGGGTCCATAAGCTTCATAGTCTTCTAGTTTTGAACTTTCTCTCTGACGTACTACTTTGCTATGTATGATTCTGTTTGTATGTTGAATTAAATGCATCATATTTCTGTACTAATGGTTACAGATGCTTCTCATGAAATTTACCTGCAAAGTTACTATGATCCTTTCTTCATCTGCATTTGGTAGGCATTTCTTCAGTCTATATCACTTTCTATGTAAAATAGCTGTTAGAAGTCACTCCCTTCCTCATCATAGGTTCACGTTGGTGAATATGGTGTGCACTGGAATTTCTTTTTCACTCTTGCTGCCGTGGCAATTTTGACATCGATGATTAATCTTTCACCAAGTAATTGTGGAATTCTGGGCTGGTTTATTCTATTAGGTATTGTTGCAATCTTGGCCCATCTCAAAAATTTGGGTACCTATGCTTTGTAAACCTATAACGTTCTTTGTCGCTTTAGGATATGAGGTCTTCTTGTTGCTTGGGCTAAATGAATATCTTCTTTCAAGCAAAAGAGGACCTGACATCATCAGCCAAAACAAAGAAGGAATTTTTAGCATTTTTGGTAAGTATTATTGTGAAGTAAAATCTTCATAAAACATAAAATAAATTTGTGAAATGAAATTAGAGCTCTCTCTCTCTCTCTCTCTCTCTCTCTCCATGCGTTTGCTTACTCTCTTGTTCAGTTTTATGGTCTCTTTGTGTGTGAGGTAAATTCAGTATGTTCTGGATATTACTGTATTGAATATCGCCGTTTATCACGTATTCACATCTTGCAAGTTGGTCCATGTGATGTAACTTTATTGTAGTAAGAACTGGGTATTCATTTTCTTTTATGGTTCTTCCTTTGTTGAATCTAGCACACATGTTAACTGGTTCCTATTGTCGAATACAAAGGTGTCAGGTAAGTTTGTAGATTTTGAACATCCAGATCAACACGCGCACACACACACTTGCTACTCCGAAGAAAAATATTTCTTTTGATTCTTTTTTGGTTAAAATTTTTATTCCAGTGCCAAGCGTTGAATTTCTTTGGCAAAATTCATAAGTTGCCACTTGAACTACGAACCAAATCCCTCTTACACACTTTCTGTGGGCGAAAATCATTTTACACACTCAACCTTTTTGAAGTGTGTCTAATACACATCATTTTGAGTCGCGTATTTTATACTCAAGAGAAGCGCGTTAAACTGTAAAAATTTTGTGTTAATTCTTTCATAAATTTACACGTGTCACAAATTTAATATTTTATCCTAAAAATAATAATTTTAACACCTTTCTTTAATTACTCACCGTCCCGCTACCACCAAGCCTCAGCCCTATTTCGACGGAACCTTACCTTATACTTTTCCAACCAAGAAGTTGTTTCCCTTGTCTTCTTCCCCAAAATATGGGAACGTTTTCAATAATCTTACTTATTCTTTTGTTTATGAGCTTATATTTCCTTAAGCTGGTGGTTTTAGATTTTATTGATCGGAGAAGACGGCGGCGAATTAGTGGCCAGTGGTGGTGTAGCAACTTTTTGATGAAATTTTTGACAATTTAATGCAGATCTTGGGGGAATTTATTACAAAACCAACAATAATTTTGATGGCTTTGATGCTCTTTAACTTGAGAAATATAGCTTGTAGCCTTAGCATCAATGATGTACTTTTGTTTGACTCACTGCTAACTCCATTGCCGTCTTTGTCGTGTATCTGTAGATCTCTAATTCCTCTCACTTTCTTGAGTTTTTCTATTTTGAATCTCGATATTTCTAGGAATAAAATGCACAAGAAGCTAGGAGCTGACCACAATTATATAGAAATAAAAAAGTAATAGTTAGCTTTGGCTTTTGTGTGTTGGTTTGAATTGGAAGCTGATGGTATGTTTTCTTTCTACTGGTCAGCGGCAATGGAGATTATTCATCGGAGAAGAGAAACAGTTGAATGGGGGAACTTAGTTATGGGATATAATTGTAATTTTAAGTATTTTATTTATATCTTATTTAAAATGACACGTGTCATAGCCTTTTTGGTGCGTGATATTACACATATTTTAGAAAACTGGTCAAGAAAAAAGTGGTGTGTAATAGATACACTTCAGAAAGGTTGAGTGTGTAAAATGATTTTCGCCGTCAAAAAGTGTGTAACAGGGATTTGGTATATAGTTCAGGTGGCAACTTATGTATTTTGCCAATTTCTTTTCCAAATTTCCAGCAGAAGGCAAAAATTGTTTATTTAGGAACCCTTTCCTAGAGGATGTGAAAACTCTGACCATGACTTTTCTTTTCAAGGCAGAATAAAACATTGTTAATGAAGCATTACATTAGCTATTTCTATTTTGTTACACATCTCCTTTCTCAGAAGGTATTCGCAAGTCGTCTTAAATCAAATAACAGCAACATACCTAGTGTATTCCCACATGTGGGGTCTGGGAAGGGTAGTATGTATGCAGACCTTAGTCGTACCTTGTGGAGGTCGAGAGGTTGTTTCCGATAGACCCTCGGCTCAAGAAAAGCATTTCAAAGCAGGTTTGAAATGAGTCGTCTTTAACCAAATGTGATGTTTAATTCATTATATGAGTATCGACTTTAGATGGGTTGAAGCTGGTTATCATAAAATTTTCAGTATTTCTTGTCATAACTTCCTTGCTTTTTTACGTTATGATTGTAAATTCTGGTTTAGAAGATCATTTCTTTTGATATCAGGTTATTGGGGGTTATACCTTGTTTGCATCCAAATAGGCAGCTATCTTTTCTTTGGAAAACCTGGAGACGCTGTGTTGAGAACAAACGATTGGGCGAGGATTAGAGTCTGGATTCTTTGTCTTCTACTCTGGTTTGAGTTTCCCCTATGGAGTATCTCTTTTGTCTGCTTCCCTGAATGTTTGCTGCCTTGGTGTATAATTGCTGATATTTCTAAGCTTGTTGCTTCCTCTTCACGTTGCAGGTTGTTGACAGTTTTTCTAGACATGCACGTTGAGAGGGTTTCTCGCAGAATGGTAGTGTATTCCTCTTTTTGTTTTCAGCAGAAAATATCTTAGTTTTCAGATTAATCTTATGGCAAGATGACTAATAAACTCTTTTAACAGTGCAACCTGGCGTATGTTACTGTGGTATTGGCTATGAACCTTCAGGTAAGATTCATGTTAATTGACACCATTAAATATCAATTCCTTCTTTATTGTATCTATTTAGATGCAATTGAAGTTTCTTTTTCATAGTTAGAATGTGGAACTCTCTCTTCCCTGTGGCTCCTTTTGTTTGATTCATTTTTTTTTGTTGGGAAAGGTAATAAATTATACTCCATTAGCACAAAGGCAGTACTAAGAGCCATATTTACAATTCACAAAAACAGCACAAAAAGTTCCCTAGTTCACCTTACAAGACTTCTATGATGTTTAACAGTGATTCTACTAATTCTACCAATTTCTCTTTACACCAAAAGTGAAATAAAAACAAACAATTCATCTTAATCTTCTAGATATTGTTGCCTATATCTTCAAAAAATCTTGAATTTCTTGATGGTCCACCAAACACAAGCCGGAACAGCACTCCACTTGTCTGACCACTCCTTCACAATTATTCCAGCAAGCCAGGAGGAGCTTTCCAGTTGATTTAGGCATGATCCATTTCAACCCTTTTATATTCAAAAAGATTTGCCAAAGTTAATCTGTGATCCGACAATGCAAAAAAAGATGGCTATTGCTCTCAGCTTCCCTTCCACATAAGTAGCATCTAGAGCAAAGCCGCATTCCCCTTCTCTTCAAATTCTCTTGTGTTAGACCAGTATTCTTCACAACCAGCCAAACAAAACATTCAACTTTGTATGGTATTTTCACCTGCCAGATGTGTTTCCAAAGCCACAATCCAGCCAGCTGACCACTATGGTTCAAAGTTGTGTATGCAGATTTTGTTTGCTTAATTATTGTAGCTGCTCATTCATTTGCGTAATGTTTTACGTGTTGTTTCCAGTTCTAGACATGTGAAAGGAGTTTGTGCTTGCACACGTACATGTGACTTTTATTGGATGATGGAGTTTTGTCTCTTAGAATTCCTGGGTTTTCTGATGCCTTCTCTCATCATTTATGCCACGATAAAGTGCAAAGTGGGGAAAAACTTGGAGCAAGTGTATTAAGAACGATTTCTAACAAGTTTTGATTGGAGATAGTGAGTCTAGATGGAGAGTATCTCGATGAAATGCTCAATACAAATTACACGGATGACTTAAATGATCTTCATAAACGTGTGACAGATAGAAAGCCTAGCTAAATTCATAGATAACTTATGTTGAAGTGAAGTATATCATGGATTATTAAGGGTAGAAAGGTTTGTGGTCCAATTGGTATCCTTATAGAGGTTTTGAAGTGCCTTGGTAAAGTTAGAGTGATGGCTAACCAAACAATTCAATGCTATATTAAGGAAAGAAAGATGCAAAATGAGTGGAGAAAGAGTAGATTGGTTCTAATATATGAGAGCAGAGGAGATAAGATTGGTTCTAATATATGAGAACAAAGTTATACAGTACAACTTTGCGAAACGAGTGATGGAGCATGGATTTAGGGACATAAACGTGGCTGAGTGAGTTTACTCTTGGTAGTTTGATAACAGCAAAGATTGGTAGAAATTTTAGAGGAAGAAAGATATCTACATGAGATGCAGTGAACTACGGAAAGCAAATGTTAGAGTGCGAATGAAAGTCCTTTCCAAAGGATCCATATCAAATATAAGTGGTATTAAAGATATTTACGAAAGAGCAGTTACAAGTATGAGAACAGTGGGAAGAGATGCAAAGAGATTTCCGTTAACCCTGGTTTACACAAAAGATCTTCCTTGAACCCGATACCTAACAAATGAAAGCAAAGTCTACACATTGGTTGTGGGACCAACGTTATACACGAGTATGTGTAGTGTCTCAGGGATGCAATATATCCACATGATGAATGTCCTAGAAATGCACAAGTTAATATGGATACGTAGTTGACTTCAAAACAATTACATCGGATAGAATTGTCTAATTGTTACATGGAAGTAAAGGATCCATATAGACTGTACCAGCTGGTTGGAATTTGGTCTTATTGTTGTTTTTATAGTTACATTACATCTGTTGCTTGTCAGGAACATTTATATTTTGGTTAGAAACTTGTATGTCAGTGTCGAAATAAGTGTAGGATTTAGAGAACCTCTTTTTTAGAGAATTCTTAATTGCTTTATAGACAACTATTTACCAGTATTGGAATGAAATGGATACAAATAGAGAGGAGTGGATTTAAAGGATTCATTTAGCTGATCAGAATGGATATAGATCATATATTTGCTCTCCCAACTAGTATGGAACTGAAGGATTATTGATTAATTGATCACTCATCACTTATTTCAGAACTTGATAAGTCAATTGAAAGTGGAAATCCAAGAGATAATAAGAGGTAGAGAAACAAAGTAGCTTTGAGCTCTGTGAAAATAATAACTATGAAGCACAAAGAGTTTCATCACTACTTACTAGAATAGCATGGACAAAACTGTGACTTGTAAGGAAGACTAAACTCTAAATTTCTCCAACAAGTTAATTAGTTTGGGGTCATTTGTGCAGTTTAGTGAATTGCACAATTTTTATTTTTATTTTCCTTTTAAAAAAAAATTGTGCAGTTTAGTGAAAGGACGTCTTTTGAGTAATTCGACAAAATGGATGTCATTGAGCTCAGGACTGGGGGATAGATGGTTACTTCTTGTCTGTTCGGAAATGCTAATTCTATTTCACTTTTTGTGGTAGATTGATTGACCACATTCTTGAGTGAAGTAGGACGCTTATAATTTTTCTTCTAAGATTGAACTTAATATACACTTATACAAACTAAGTGTTGCTTTTTCGAAATGTTGCGAACGCATTTCCAAAAAGTTTGGTCAAAAGTAGATTCACTTCACTTTCGGTAAGGGAACAGCACCAGACTTCTGGATAGGGGAAGACGTTAATTAATTTTCATGCTTTCTTGGGAAGAGCTTGTGGATTACTGAGCAAATTTCTCTTGAATGCAATGATGCATAATTTCATAACGCAATTATGATTCCGTATAATGTTTCATTTCTTTTTCGATTTAGGCATGGCTCAACGTTTCTCTTTTTCAGGTTTTTGCAGTTTTAACTCTAGCTGATTATGTACCTGGATATAAAGTTGCCGCGTTGATAGAAGTTTTTGACCGAAACTTACTGGGCTCTTTTCTTCTGGTGAGAAAAATTTATTGCTGATATCATCGTTCTGTAATGCTTTCTGCTCATCCTTTGATCTCTGGATGATAAGATCAGTCACAAAATCATCATTTGATCATGCAGGCTAACGTGCTAACCGGATTGGTTAACCTGTCCATTGATACCCTCTTTGTCTCACCATTCACTGCACTTGCTATCTTGGTTGGATATGCATACATTTTATCTATTGCTGCAGCAGTAGCACATGTTTGTGGTATTCGATTGAAGTTTTGGTAGGGGAGCTTAGTCTAGTATACTCTAATTTCATTCATTCTTTAACCCATCCTCCATTACATGACTCTTCTTATTGTAATAGATCCTGTGTGTCTACATTAGATTCTGAAATCGAGGCATTGGATTAACCTCTATTCGCTGTCGCTGAACAATCTTATATTTTTCTCACTCCCTCTCTCATTCCCTCCATAGAAGAGGGGGAAAAAAGTACCTGTTGATTTAACCGCGATACAGAACACTATATTTCTGCCCATTAGAAATGCTCATTGAGAAGTGTATGGGCGAAACATACTCACATGAGCATGTTATCGCGGCCTAAATTATATGCTCTTGCTGCTGCAACAGCCAAAAGGGGAGAGCATGTGTGACAGGAAGCAGCAGAGAGAGTGAGACCTCAATCCCTTTTTAGCATTCTTTGTGCACAAATATCAAATACTTGGGCAAGAAAAGGAAGCCAAGCTCAAGCCCCATTTGAGAAATGGTATTAACGGGTCCCCGTAAGGGTCCCAAAGAAAAGGAAGTGGGAATACTAGTGTTAATAATATACTCCCTCCTTCCGTCCTTTATGATATTTTTTGCTTCTCGGGATTAAGAGTTTCAGACTACGTGAACTTTGAACAATATTTTAAATTGTAAATTTTCATCATATTGACATGTGAAGTATTGCAACTTAAGTAGTACTTTTTATATAATTTTTGAATATTTAAATTTTAACTTTAAAATATTAAGTTGATCTAATTTAATTTAGCTTCGAAAATTAGTCAAATTGACTTTCGAAAAGTGCGAAGTCTCACATAAATTGGAATGGAGAGAGTGATAGACAGTTTTAGATTTGAATGCAAATGATTGTTACAAAGTCCATAAATGGGCACATCTCATTGCTATTGGGTTGTCGCATAGACTTGTACACATGTGATACTACTTGTTCATAATCAAATAGACTTGTACACATGTGATACTACTTGTTCATAATCAATCTAAAAAGTGAGCTTCCCAGCTTCAACATCACAAAGGACTTTCCCCAAGGCAAGGAATGGCCTCACAAGAATAATTAGGACTTCATAGTCCACTTCATAATCTAAAATAATAAAGTCGGCGAAAATAATGAACTTATCAACCCAAACCAACACATCTTCAATCGCTCCAATGGTCTTTTGATAGTGCGGTTGGTCATTTGTAAGTTGTAACCTCATTGAAGTGGGTCTTGGTTTCCCAACCCCAGAGTTTAGAAAATCGAAAAGGGCACCAAATTAATACTAGCTCTATGGACGCACAAAGCTTTAGCAAAATCTATATTCCCAACAGTGCATGGAATTGTAAAAGCACCAGGATCCTCCAATTTGGAAGTCACAAAATGAAAAATAGAACTATCTTGGTTAGTAACCTTGATAATTTCAAAGTTCATCCACCGCTTCTTGGTTACAAGGTCTTCTATAAATTTGGCATAATCGGACATTTGCTCCAAAGCTTCCACCATTGACACATTAATAGATAAACCCTTCAATATTTCAATGAACTTCTTTGATTGGGTTTCGCCATTTTGCTTAGCTGGCTTTTGAGGATAAGAAGGGGGAGACTTTTGCAAATATGCCTTAGCCTTTTGCATTACCGGTTCCAAACCAATAGATACAATGCTCGAAGTGTCCTCCCTTACAGCCGCCTCCAAAAAGGAAAAAGAAAACTAAAAGGAATAATAAACTCGTGCTAGAATCTTAGTTTTTGGCAGGTAAACGAAAATACCACATTGCATATTGTCATGCAATATATTCATTATTAGCTTATTGCTAGAATCTTAGTAGGCACTTGGACATAAGAATTGTAGTTTTGAAAAAAAAAAAAATAGTATTTAATTTTAAATTGAAAAATGATATTTGGAATTTGTAATTATGTTTGGACATGCATTTCACTTAAAAAATGTTACAGTTTTATGAGTGAGGAAACAAAAATTTCTGAAGATTTTAAAAAAAATCCATTTTCGAAATATTTCCAAAAACTTACAAAATTTCATGGACAAACACGTTTTTGAAAAAAAAATTCAAAAAATGGAAAAAATATCTATGAACAAACAGGTCCTTAGTTTTGCCAAAAGTAACAGAAACATAGGGAGCCTCAGCTAGTTTACCATTTTGCCAAATAACCTTTGCCTTATTCACTTCTTCCAATTCAAAAGTCGAGCAACTCTTGAACAGATAGATCTTACAAGATTCTTTGCATATTAAGCATACATTGATAAAACTGATAAAGCTTGGTCATGTCAGATCAGACTATACTGGAGGAACTTTATATCAATAACCAATTTGACAACCACCAAATGATATTAATTTCAAAACAATTTCTCGTGCGAAATATTTCCCTATTCAAGAATTCAAATAACTGACCATCTATCCAGTCACTATGTAAACACAGAGAGTCGTCCCACAAGATAACTGGCTCAGAGGAAAATTAAATGTTGAAAGCTGGTAATGTATATCACTTTCTTGCAGTCTCCAAGTTCAAGTCCTGAAGGTTAAGCAACAGATCATCGGCACTCAAGTACACCTTGTTCGCTGCATGTGAGATAGTTTGGGCAATCTCTCTTGCTGCTTCGATTTTCCTGAGCGTGATAAATGCCGGATTGTTGGCAATCGCTTGACCAATCAGCTGGGCACTCTTAGCCTCACCCTGCAGAACAGTAAACATAGGAATTCAATATTCTGTTTCGCAATGTTTCCGTATCCCCCACCCCCACCCAAAAAAGATTTCCTTCATTTTAGTTTTCTGTTCTTCCAAACATGTGTTACCTATTTGTTATTATAATGTAAATAAATATTATGCAAAAAGACAATGGCAAGCTTGCGGTACGCATCAAAGACATCATCAATCCAGCAACAGATTAATGGAGTGACAACAGATTAATAAACAGGAGATGTGAAGCGGGGAAGTTATATTGACCTGAGCTCTGATAACAGCACTTCGCTTATCTTGCTCAGCTTTTTCCACAACAAACTTTGCTCTCTCAGCTTCTTGAGCAGCAACTTGTTTTGCTTCAATTGCAGCTGTAAATTCCTTTCCAAAAGTCAGGCTTGTTATGGACACATCATCTAGAGCAATGTTGAAGTTGGCTGCCCTCTCTGTCAAGATCTTCCGTATTTCTCTGCTAACGTTCTGCAGAAAGTGCACAATATTGGCAATACTTAGATGGTATCTATTAACAAAAACATTTTTGAAAGTTCAAATCTGTTGTAAATAGAAGATTCGCAGTTTACTTTCCCTACTTCAGATAGGGAAGTAGTAATTATGCAATAAGCTTCCAACACAATGGCCTAATCACACTTGAAAAAATAGTACATATGAGAGATGTTGCTAGTTATAGAAATTATTTCCACCTAGAGCGACATCAACTAAGTAGTTTTAGCATTTTGCACATACCTCTCTCTGGGTGATGAGCTGACTAGCATTGTACTGGGCAACCACAGCTTTCAACGTTTCATGAATAATTGAAGGCAGGACCCTTTCATTGTAGTTTTCACCAAGAGTTCGGTAAACAGTAGGTAGTTCATCTGGAACTGGACGAGTGAGAACCCTGAGCCCAATTTTCACCTGTGCAATAAATCAGGGAAAAGATCATTATATTAAATCCTATACTTCTAAAAGTCCAAAAACTATCTGTATTTAAGATTAAGCAAAACCTCAATTATCAGTCTATCACCAACCTTTGTTCTTCATTGTTACAAATGTTTCCCCCTTTTTTCTACCCTATCTAGTTTTGTTTTGTTTTTGTCCTAAGAGATGAGAGTAAAACAAGTGTTTAGAAAAAAAAATTACCATCTGAAGGTCACGACTTCCTGAAGTGCTCTCCACAAGGTGGGGTCGTGCACGAACATCATAAATGACTGGCCTTTCGAACCAAGGAATCATGAAGTGTGTCCCTTCTGGATAAACCTATTCATAAATCAGTCATGAACGATTATCAAAAAGGAAAAGCAAAAATAAAAATAAAAAACCAAAAAAAAAAAGGCGCGCACAGTAAACAAAGGAAAATCATCTCATAGGGTCATACAAAGAGGTAGCCATAAACATCCAACACAAACATTTGACTATTTGAGTATATAACAAAGATATCAAGATAAGCTAACAATATCTTTTCATATATTTTTGACAAGTTTTTTTTTTTTTTTTTTTGACAAGGATATCTTTTCATATATTAAGAAAATAGTATACAAGCATGTGGCTGCAAAGGCTCCAAAATTCATGTCACCTAATAAGTTTATTAGCTTGAAATGGATATAATAAACATAAAATTGGTAGTGACTGTTGCTAACAAAAAACCAATTCGAGTAGCACTGAGAAAAAGTCATTTTGGGTCAAAGAACAAATAACAAGAATACCTTCTCTTTAACACCAAGAATACGGTTGAAAACAATGGCACGATGCCCGCCCTCAACATTGTAAAGACTGTTGGCAACTCCATATACACCAAGACCAGCAACAACTCCCAATTTGATCAAAGCAGAAGCTGCACCACCACCTGGCATCTTAGGAACCTTAACATTGTTGAGATTCATCTTGCCAATCCTGAAATATACACATCACAGTCATAATTTCCGTTAACCAAAAAATAGCAACCGAGCATGCAATCCGACACCCCTCTTGATTGGTCTGCAGGGAATTTTGTTCCCTAACTCCATTTTGGATAAAAGCTGGGGACAAATATCCTTAAAGGTGGAACAATGACCTTTTACCGTAAACAGGTCAATATCAAAACCTTTTGTATGTCATGTACAACACTTCATCTTACCAGACAAAAACGGTTTCAGATTTATACAGAGGGATTCAAAAGAAATTTCTATAATGACCTAGAGCAACTTTTGACTCTCCTCTACCACTACACTCGATTATTTTTTCATGCCAAGGGAATACAACCGCTTATATATAACCAAAAAAATTATTTTTATCCTGTTTGCGCAGTATAATTTCTCGACAAAGGGGATCCAGTCGAACCCCCTTCCCTAAGTCCCAAATATTCGACAATTCGATTGCCATTTACCTTGTTCTTCACTTACTATTAAAACTTCGATGTAACAATTTACCCTTTTTTAAGTACAGTATGATACAGTGAAGCACTAAAAATTCTTGATAAAGTTGAATTAGCAAA